CGTTGCTAAGGAAATTTTTGTATGTTGCTAAGGAAACTTTTTTATGTTGGTAAGGAAATTTTTTTACGTTCCTAAGGAAATTTTTTTTATGTTGCCAAGGAAATTTTTTTACGTTGCTAAAATTTTTTTTATGTTGCTAAGGAAGTTTTTGTTACGTTCCTAAGGAAATTTTTTTGCGTTCCTAAGCAAATTTTTTTACGTTGCTAAGCAAATATTTTTATGTTGCTAAGGAAATTTTTGTGTTTCTAAGAAATTTTTTTACGTTGCATAATCATATTCATAACCATATTCATAATCATATTCATAATCATATTCATAATCATATTCATAACCATATTCATAATCATATTCATAATCATATTCATAATCATATCCATAATCATATTCATAATCATATTCATAATCATATTCATAATCATATCCATAATCATATTCATAATCATATTCATAATTTTTGTATGTTTCTAAGAAATTTTTTTACGTTGCATAATCATATTCATAACCATATTCATAATCATATCCATAATCATGTTCATAATAATATTCATAATCATATCCATAATCATATTCATAATCATATTCATAATCATATCCATAATCATATTCATAACTAGAGTTGCCGCGGGTAGCGAAAATGCTACCCGTTACCCGACCCGCTACCCGCTGCCTAACTACCCGTACCCGCACGGGTACCCGTTGCCCGTTACCCGTTATGAGGATTAAATTAAAAACTAAACAGCCTCATTAATCAATCGGATTTAATCAATTATTTGCTTGTTTGGGTTGTGGAGTAGTTTGAGATAATGCTGTACGAGTAACGAATGTCATAATTTGCTGGATCTCATTAGATGTTTCTGAAACCAAACTTTTTTGGCCTACAATGTAACCTTTTTCAAGCCTGTACCGGGATTTCTGAGCGAATTATATCCAAAAAATCGGGCCAAAAATGAGGAATTATCACTTCTTGAATTACACCGTTTCAAAGAAAACTATTGGGGGAAGAGTTCGAAGTCTACCATGTTGTCGACCAGTGTAGGAAAAAGATGCAGAACCTTAACTTAAAAATTGAACTCTGCAGCCAACATTGTTGTTCAAAGTTGACATTCAACGGATATTTAGTATCACGTGATTCCTAATTTTTGGCTTGACTTTTAGATATACTCGTTAGACAATTTTGGTGTATCTTAAAAAAGGTTCACTTTTAGTTTCATTTTTTGAAATTTTGATTTAAATGAAGTTTTCATGATTTTTTAAATGCATTAAAAAAATCGTCTACAAATAAAATTTTTGCTTTCAATCGAATACAGGTTTTTTATACCTTCAAAGCACAAATTAAAATCTCACCAGTCGAGTCTTACATAAATACACCCAAATACAAGTCAAATTATTGCCGATGTTTTAGAGCAGGCAAATTATGCTTGAGAAACAATAATTTCTCCGCATTTTCGGGATGTGAAAAGGCCACCGTAGGCTTTCGTGGGTTCCGAAAAGACACGCTTGCCATAAGCGTTAGTTGCTTGGAAATGTAAAATGACAAATTTTGAAATGGAAAAATAATAAATTGACGCTTTTGTTGGTAAATAGACTAATTTGCTGCTGACTTTTTTTATGAACTGATTTATGTGGAAAATTAAATAAAAATTGAAATACCCGTTACCCGTGCGGGTAGTTCTCGCTACCCGCAGATAACGGGTACCCGCAAGAATCGTGCGGGTATGCGGGTAACGGGTACCCGACCCGTTACCCGCGGCAACCCTATTCATAACCATATTCATAATCATATTCATAATCATATTCATAATCATATCCATAATCATATTCATAATCATATTCATAATCATATTCATAATCATATCCATAATCATATTCATAATTTTTGTATGTTTCTAAGAAATTTTTTTACGTTGCATAATCATATTCATAATAATATTCATAATCATATCCATAATCATATTCATAATCATATTCATAATCATATCCATAATCATATTCATAATCATATCCATAATCATATTCATAATTTTTGTATGTTTCTAAGAAATTTTTTTACGTTGCATAATCATATCCATAATCATATCCATAATCATATTCATAATCATACTCATAACCATAATCCGAAATCTTATCTGTTCCCTGATTGGGTCACCCAGAAAGCCGGGAACCAATCAGAATGCAGGGATGTCACGGAAAATTTCACGGGACGGACTTTTCGAAATTATAATATAGATTACTGATTATTTTTCATCTATTTTATATGTATTTTCTCATGGAGGAAAAAAATCAAAATTCTTGCCTCGTATCTTTGAACATAAACCTATTTTTGGGTGCATTAAAATCTTAATATTGTAAAAAACAAAAGGCGATGATGAAGTTTCAAAATCGCCAGTTGAACATATGGGAGAAGGGAAAGTTGAGACACAACAGTTCAAACTCAAAACCCGCATGTTTTTGCACCTTAAGCATAAATGTGAAAAGATATGGGAAGTGAAAATTTGCTTGAATGCAGTTTTAACCTCGTGCCAGGTCACGGAAGATGAGACGGGGGAAAGAATTATTGGCTGTCAAGTCGTGTAAGGTTGAGAAAAGGTGGGGCGTGTCCCGGCAGGCATAGCCATGGGAGTGGCTAGTAAAATTTTCGTACATGGTGCGAAATAGTTAGTCAAGATGGATAGGAGAAAGATTGGAGTGGGGCAAAGACGCGAGCAGGGGGAAATGAAGAATAAACGGTTCATTAATGATAAAGGGTTTATGCCTATATTAATAGAACTGCAATAGATTGATGTGCGGGTGTGGTTCAGTGGGGTTTGCACCTATTCACGAGTCCCAAGTAAGAAATCGGGTTTTCATACCTGCTCCCGCTTTCCCCTTTCGTCGAAAAATAAGCCCAAATTTACATGTCTACATAAACCTACAAATTCATCAGCAGGTTTCCCTAACATGCGCATTTTGTATTTAATTTTAAAAGCGTACTAACGTTACTTGTAATTACGTTGGACGCAAACATTGCACGTTACTATATCACAGCAGAATATTCTCAACCCCGGTGAAGGGTAAATATTGTGGAAAGCAGGGGGATCGTGAGAATCCAAGAGTCACCAGTTAAAATACGAGGTTGTATGTATGTGGATTAATTTTCGACGCGCAGAGAACTTATTGAACAAGATGTTTCTTGTTTGATGGTGGAAAGTACAGTCCATGAGTTCGTAGTGGTATATGAGCTTACTTTCTCCGTCTAGAGAAGGTAGCCTTAAATTTACATACACATAATATTCTATTGATCGATTCTCTTAACGGTGATCAGTACACGTTGTAACGGAGTATTTTGGATGATTGAAGAAGTGGCACAAGGTCTCTTAGGGTAGTATTCAAAGGAACAAGATGATGATTTATCTGTGCATGGAAATCTTTGTCCTACCTTTTCTAGAAGCTGTTATGGGGATGGTCATAAGTGGTTCTTGCCATGTTCATATCTTACGTCCCGGAATGTGGGTGCGGTTCGCTAGGGGATCGTTAGAGTCACAAGAGTCACCAGTTAATATTTCCGGTTATTATCCCTCTATTCCATCGTCTGCTTGATGACATACGCAAACAGAAATAGAGACGATCAAAAGGGACATGTCGGACAGAGAAGTATTTATTCTCCGACACAATTCCCACAATTTCTCCCTCGGGAGAAAGTATTTTACATGAGTATATGTTCATTACCCTTCTGAGGAAGGAGTTTGTTTGTATGTTTGTGTATATAAATTACAGGCCCGTAGAGGCCCATAAAGCTTCGTGGATTTTCTCTACGTGTTTGTAAATTTTTCTCCTCGGTGTAGACATAAAGTGGAAAGGAAGCAGTTCTCCAGAAAACAATTCATTTTATCTCTGCTTCTGGAATCGGTAATTTCCAGTAGCCGTTTTGATACTCCAGTTTAGTCAGGAATTTAGCATCACGTAAAGAATCCAAAACATATATGTATCCTAAATATTCATAAATCCTAGATAATCTGGTCGCTACACCTCCAGACCTCCATCCATCCATGGTCAGAAGTGTGCTGGAGACATTATCGTTGAAGAAGATTAACGACCTGAAAGGTCCGGGATCAGTGTACGGCTTGAAATTTGCGGTATTGCATGAGGACATCGTTTTGGGATTGTGCATGTATAACGTGCTGGCAATGTGATGTAGACCTCTCAATATGTAAGAAATTTTTCGTTCAGTTGACATAATTTCTCTGAAGCCTGATGTGCCCTGAATGTTTCCCAGAAGTCAAGCGCGGTTCCATGGTTCTGGGTGCATCAGTAAGACTTAGTAAAGTTTGCTCAATCTAGAATTCAGAGTGTATATATTTACTTCTAAAATGGGAACATTATTTTTAAGATGGTAGCCCAAACTAGGGTGGAAGAATATCTCGGCCCAATATATCTACATACATACTTGGACAATGAGTTTATGTTTGCGGGGTTCTTAAGTACATACATATGTAGAAAGCGAGTTATATATACAAGGAAATTCCTTTAGTTTGTCGAATAATTCACGTATTGTGGGGGCATGTTGGTGTCGAGACTCATTTCGGACTGACTTAACTATTTTATGCATGTGAATAAGAAAATTTGTATGACATCGTTGGTGTACAGCCCCAACTAATAAAAGTATCCTTACATACACCCGTCTATAGATCGTTCTTACAAGATTCATTGCAGGAAGTTCATACGAATATTTGCATCATCAAACCAGGAGCTTGAGAAATACATAATAATCAAAATAATCAAACCAGTAATTTACGCGACCAACTCATCCCAAAAAGGGGTGATCAAAGGGCCACCCTTTCCCTTTTCGTGAATTATGTGGTTACATACGTACTTAATTGGGTTTTCTGAAAGGGTTCTCATTTAGGGAGCATTTGTTACTCTTGGTCGTCTCCATGGGAACGACTTCTTTTTCAGCGTCACAGACCCTTTGAGATCAACTCTTTGTCCGTTTTATCCCGCATTGCCAATTCACCCTCTCCCTACGAAGGGAGAGGGTTTAATCTAAACGGAGTGCATTAAAGAAAATTGTTAATACGCAAACTATATTTTACCAGAGGAAATATGTAAGTATTGATTAAATTAGCAATACATAAGTTCTACTACATATAAATAAAACGTGCAAGTAAATATTTTATGCATGCTAAAAATCTGGTAGAGTTGTATACCTTATTTATAATTAATTTGATTATAATTTCCTGCCGGATTGGTACTAAATCGTTTGTTTTTAAGTGGTAAATTTTTAACCACTAATAAATCATTACGTGCAATGCTCGTTATAACCAGTCGCTGTAGGGTCATGCATTTCCTCCGGCCATAAGCAATTTAACATTAGTTTTTTTACGAGTGTATGTACATACATTAAACAACACGTCCTGCTATTGAAAATAGAGTAAGTACACATATTGTCATTCAAGGGGCAATATGCGCTACATGATTTTTTGCCGTTTTAAATATTACGATTATGTGTTACATGATGTAGCACATAATGCACCTACATAGATGTGAATACAATTAAAATTATATATTTGCCAGCCCGGAAAGATTTTTTTGCATAATTTTGATAGCGAAATTGATTTTGATATTAGTGTATTTGCTATTTGTTCACCAATTTAATTAGTCAATGAAATGCAAAAATAAATTTAAAAATATGTTTTTCAGAATTTATAGCGGTAGCTTTCAATGAAAAAAAATTATACTTTTTTTACAGCGATCCGGTGAGAGAACCACCATTGGAAAAAATACATAAGAAAATCCTCCCGTTATAAGAAATCAGCAACCCGAATATGAATGTCCACTTCAACACGTGAGTGCTCTAATTTCATTGAGGTAAGTGGATCGTTAATTTGAAGCTCGAAATTTATAAATGGCGTAGTAAATCGGACAATTCTTAAGCTTTGACCACCTATCTATGATATTTAGCACTTGGAAGATCCGTTTTATTTACTACGAACATGACTTTTTTAAACTACAGATCTAAAAACTTATCAGCCACATCGCCATCTAAAGCAGGACTTGACCACCCGAATCACACTTGTATCCCAAACATACGAGTACACATATGTACGTTCGTACACGCAATGGACGACGACGAGAGACCCTGATTAAATACATATGTATGTCGCCACCTCAAAATTCCATAAGTAACCATACCTCAACAAAATCCAGACACATTGATTCATAGGTACGCATATTTTGTAAGATTCAGATGTCAACGAAATCCATGCAACGTGACTTTAAACTTTTGGGTCATTCCTAATTCAGTTCAGGGATTTTATCCCAATCTCATTTCTTTAGCTTCCACTTAACACTGTGCATTGCAATTTTTTGAATTTTACTATAGCTCATACTTTACTAAAAATTCTGTTGTTTTATGAAGAGACACTTATCGTAACATAATATCTTACTTTTGAGACATTTCGAACCGGTCAGGTACATAATTACACCAATTATTGTATGCACAATCGAATGTGTTTCACGTTTTAAAATGGGATCACCGTGGTTAATTGAGGAATGTTAAACTACCTACACTCTTAGCAACTTGGTAACAAAACCAAGAATTTCGTTAACACCAACCGTCGGTGTCAACCTCAATTCCACTAAACAGTGTCAAACCGTTGTGTAAAAATGACACTGAGCAAAAACAACGCGTCGACACGCTACTGGTATCAGCGATATTCCTGCAATAGTGTCGAATTGACACGGTGCGATGTTACCGCAGTAAGCAAGACTTCGACTCAACACAAAATTGTGTCAGTCTCTTCCTCGTGTTGGCATGGTTCTGCTTGGCGGCCGTTTTTCGTCATCCACAAAAACGTCAACAAAATGGATAAATTAATTATTTTGTTCAATAGATTTCGAGGGAAAAATTTGTTTTTATATATTTATGGACTACTTCCAATTTCGTGACTCAGGTGAGTTAAAATCTGTAAGATATATTAATTTTCCCTTATTTAACTAAAATTATTTTACTGTGTGCATATTTATTTTGAAAACTTATTGTTTCCAGTACAGCTAAAATTCGACGCTGGACACAACGTGGGAGCCAAAAGTGACGAATAAGGATTTGTCCAACCGGCAACCTATTTAATTATTATTAAATATCTTGTTATTAGTTCATTTAACTGAAAGATTTACTCATATTTTAGATCATCACCGTGCTAAAAACATATAAGCTTTTTCTGTAAAAGTGCATAAGGTATGAAGCAAAAATTACTATTTGATTTGTGCGAGTGTAATAATTTGTTACTTGTGAATGTTTGAAATACGTGATTAATTTTTTTAAGTTCTTAATATTATTGAATGTAAAATAAAATACTTGTTACTAAAAGTTGTACTTAAGTTGTCACAATCCGGGGACCAGGTGTCACCAGGTGGTGACATGCATATATTAAAATGCACATATAATGTTACCTAGCAGTGTCGAACCAACATAACTGAGCACAGCCTCTTTTTCATTCGCGGTGTTGGCATTGTCACAACGGCATGTTGGGTTGACACCGCAGCGGTGTGAAACATAATTGACACCGCACCGTGTCCATTTGACACCAAACCGGTAGAGTCATATATAGACACCGCCATGGTGTCAATTCGGTGTCGATTTTTTTTGTGAGTGTACAGAGCTTCCTACTTTGAAAAATACCCGCCTGTTTCAACATAGATTTCCGTTGATAATTTGACAATGATTTTGAATTCATATAATTTTGAACCGTCACTAACGTTAATTGTAGTCACGGTAGGCGCAGATGTTACACAGTACTATATCACAGACTAATTACAATTCGTCCCGATCGAAAAATTACTATGATTTTTCTCATTGGAATTCTCATTTGGTGGTGCCGATGAATGCGCAGCTTCAGCTCCAGTACTTAAATGCTTCATAATATTAAATAAAATTTAGGTCCAGGTATTATTTATCTAGACGAGTGAATAGTTTGCCCATCACCGTTGCGATTACTGGATCAGACCCTTCGTTAAAGTCAATTATTTTTAACCTGTCAAAATAAGGTTCTTTCTTCTTCTGCAGAAGCTCGTCTAATTCGTATCTTCTTATAACCATTCGTTGGCACGCGTCCTCCAATTATGCATCTAAACTCTAAGAAACCCGGCAACAAAGTTATTACCAGGCGGAGAATCTATGTGACTCTCCCGCATGGTAATTAATTTATTATTGAGTGGGAGACATTTTGCTACCAAACTGGTGATAACCCCGGTCGCGAAATTTGAAAATATTACCAGTTTTTAACCAATTTTCTACCACTCAATAATAAATTAATTACCATGCGGTAGAGTCACATAGATACTTCGCCTGGTAATAACTTTTTTATCGGGTTTCTTAGAGTGTACCTATCCGGAAACTTACACACTATATTATTACACTCTTAAAATTATGATAAAAAAATATTTAAAAAAATTCAAATTATTAAAAATTAAGCCGTGACCATATGCACAAAACTTAGAGATAAAAATGTGTTTTCTTCGTTATTTTCATCGAAAAATTAATGAAAAATTTACAAAATAATAAAAAGAAGAAGAGTTCAGCCTAGCCTGACCCCTAAATTGTTGACATCCCCACGACACCAGGTCAAATAAATAGGGTTGGGAACCCCTGGAGCTGGAGGGATGTCAACGGACCCTAGCCTTACCGACCAAGATGCTTGTGAAATTGAAAGAAAAGAACCTCCCAACCCCGAAATTTGCGCTATTTATTGAAATTTTAGTGTTCTTTAAGAATTTAGAATAGAGATAGTGGCATTTTATGCAAAATACAGAGTAATATACCTACCGTTGGTGGAATTGAGGAGGACTTTACTGTTTGTGAAAAGTTTTGAAGATTTGACGAAACTCCAGAAACTTACACATTATGCCGATATGGGTTGGATCTAAGCATTTTGCCTCCCCCATCTTCTTGACCACGTTGCTAAGATAACAATTTGGAATAAGAAAGAAGAGAATGAATAGTTTTTTCTTAAAGTTATGGAAGGATAAAATTACTAGGTAATATTTATGTGAATATTACCATTGGTTATTTTATATAACTTAAATTTAGCCCATTTTTTGTGGAATTCTTCCACGGCCAATTTTCCGGAACGTAATGCCACATGATATTCGGTCAAAATTCGACCGAAAATCACGTGTTTATATTTTTGAACCGGGTCAAAGTCCCCCGAAAAACCATTTAAAACATGGACAGCAGCCTTGTACGACGTGCAAATTCCATAGAAAACAAGGATGTCACGCGTCCTATCCCCACTTCCACTTTGGAGTGAGGCAAGACTGCGTACATCAAATTTTAATTTCAAAATTTTATAAATTAGGCGCCATAAGGGCGTGAAATGTTGACAAATCAAATAGTGATTTGCGGAAATATCCCCCCAACTACAATACGGACAATTCCTGTCCCCATAAATCCCCAAGGAAACCGCTAATGACGGTGTTAATCCCCGATTATGCCATAGTTTGTAAACTATGTCCTTTTCCGGGTTGGGGATTTCTGATTTTTTTAGAAATCCCCAACATTTAAAGTTAAAATAATCCCCAATTAGTCCCCAAGAAATATTGTTCGAAACTGGGATGCATAATAAATATGCTGTTGCCTTGGTTACCATCTCGAAGTCAGTTTTACTCCCGAAAGAGTAACACTGAAGAGTGAGAGGAAGATCGGGCGACATTTCTAAACTTTTTAAAGTTTCCTGAAGGGAATGAATTTCTGAGGACAAGTGTCGTCGGGACGAAACGTGAACATTCTCCACAAATTGGCTCTGATTTAATGACAAAAAATCTGCCACACTTAAGATTTTGGATTTTTCTAGGTATGGGAATTTTTTATTTTTGAAAAATATGGAGTTCGAGATTGCCATCTCGTTTAACAAAATAGGATGTAGGTTTTTAAAATGTAGCCCGATCTTTTCTGAGAGGGATAATAAATGTACATAAAAATCCGAGTGGACATTATTCTTACCTTTTAGGAGGATAGTCAGCACATTTTCATGGGATGCTTCGGAAAAATACCCCTGGCTATCTAGTAAAGACTTTCTGCAAAAAGAAAGTCGAAAAGTGGCTACTTGCACCTTGGGGTGTAAGACGCCTAGGCCCCCGTTAGCAATGGGAAGATACAGAAGGTGTCTGCCGACCCATTTTTTCTTTCCCCTCCAAATAAAACTTTCAATTAAGGTACAAATCTTGGTAAAAAAACTATCATCAGGGTCAAGTACTTTCAAAATGTACCATAAAGAGTGTACCGTAATCTCACACATTTGTGTCCCGATTTTTATGAGATTTTTGAGTTTATGCCCATTCTGCCTAACTTGTGTCCTTGCGATATTACACTTCTAGAATCTTAACAATTTTAACTACATACATCAGTTTTAAGGATCAGCTTGCTGCTATAGTCGTAATGGTTTATACTTGCGATGTACTTATCGCCCAACCAGAGGTCAACGCCGACGGTTTACGCGGCGGCGGCGTGAAAATGTATATTGGTCGGCGGCGGCGGCGCGCCGCGGCGCGGTGATCAAATTTCTTCGACGGCGCCTACATAAATTGTTAAACGTATGCATATACGCTAAATAGGAAGGATCTGAAACACGCTAAATTAGCATTGCTAATAATTTAAAATTTGCAATATTTCTTGGAGAATGTATCTTTTCATTAACTTTTCATGCACTTCAGACAAGTTTTAGAGAAAAATTGAACATGCTATATTTAACGGTCAAATTTTGACCATTTCAGCTGCTCATTAGAACTGTATTAAAGATCACGGCTTTTTCATTTCACGCAGTTGGTTGTGACATTTCTTACATAATTTTATGAAGCGTCCCCATTTTAGGTGTTTAAACTGGGTAGTAAGTCTTTTCCCTATTTCTTGGAACATCAAGTAGTCAACTTGAATTCGATGGTATCGTAAATGTGATCTGGTAAATTGCAATACGAAAATTTTTAAAATATCAATTTTCAAAATTAAACAAAAATAGTATTTAAAAAACTGTTCAAAATTTTAAAAAAGTTTAAAAAAAGATTACAAAATACACTAAATTAAAAAATTCATCAAATTTAAATGTAAATCGGCGGCCGAATATTGGCGCCGGCGCGCCGACCAGATTTTCGCGATGGCGGCGGCGCGTCAAAAAGGTTCGGCGTCTGGCGGCGCGGCGGCGTATAATCGGCGGCGTTGAATTATGCGCCCAACGTGTCGGATACTCGATATGTCGCATACACTCCGAACATGTAATTCGGTAGAGATGACGTACCTAACATTTTTTAAATTGTGCATAACCTGCCATTGGGGATAATTTTCATTAAACAAGTCTTATCAGAAAGGACTGGAGGTCCAACGGGCTACGGAATTTTACTGAATACGGGGATGACGTTGCCTGTAGTATATTACAAGGTTGATCTTTGATTGCTTCCGTATCAAAGAAACCTGCAACCACAGACACGTAGGGTTTCTTGTTATGCAAAGCCTTTGTTGACTTCTTGCCTTGAGACATTCAGAATTGTTTGAACGAGAAAAAGAGGTATTTATGATAATCCTATTATTAAACGAGCATATAATGTGAAGCATACGGGTAGCTATGTCTCACATACGAACTCTTTCCAATAAAGCTGCTCTTCGTTTCTTAATAAGCGCTTAATTTTCATACAATTAGGGAACGTAATTATTTAGCCTTTGGCTACTATCAATTTTATTCTCAAGAAAAGTTAAAAATGCATCCAAAAATGATTACAATGACCAAAATATCATGGCATTTTAACGGTGATTTATGTCACACAAAATACATATTTACATACTTTTCTATTGTAATTAATTTAGGTAATTCATAATTTAACACAGTTAAGTAATATGGATATGTATATATGTATATGTATTGGTATATGCATGTCGTAGCATTTGCATGAACACAAAAATGAACGGATATCATGTAAATCTTCTAATTATGTCGTTAATTAGTCAATAAATAAAAATCGCATGAAAGGAAACAATAATTATCGCTCTTCTTCCACTAATCTCGTTTACCTAAAATAATATTCAGCATAATTTAAAATAAAATTTAGACCTAAATATGTGAATGAATTTTTGTACTACATATATTTTCTACCATGAATAATGCACTAAAGTTGTATACCTGCAGATAAAAATTAACGTTAAAAATTTACACTAGAAATATAGGTAATAGAACAAAAATTAATAAAGTAACAATAATGAAAAACGGAATCTGGTCACACACAATTTTA